TTTTAACACAATAACACAGTGAACTTTGATAATACTTACGGAATTTGATTAACAGAGCCCAGTACAATTTCATCCCCAGAATCTGCAGTACCGGTATATGAGCTTTTTTTTGCCTCTAGATCTGCTAATGATGATCTGTTAAATATGAATTAACAGAAAAACTTTGTAAATATGTACTGTGCTAAAATTGAAACATGTCAGAAGAAACAACCATGTGTAATGGACCTCCTGAATTACCACCCCAACTCACGCACTTATTTTCCCCATTTTTAGTATATTTTTTGTCAACAAGTCATTGTCAATGACATAGTCCTTGTTCAGCTTTCAGTAACTGTGTCAATTATAAACAATGAGAAATGGGGTAGAATTCAATTACACTGTACATGTTGGAGGAGTTACTTCTAATGGCAGTTTATCCAGAATTTGTTCCGACAATGTGACACCAGTGACCTCCTAGGAATAAAATGAATCTCATATCACACAACATTGTATCAGCCGAACTAAACCAGTTGAACTTTTTATCAGTGTCTGAGAAATGATAAAGAACACACGAAAATAAAACTAACATGGTCGTCTGTTTACAATTTCCAATAAAATCACATGTCAAACTGCCATACATCAGTGACTTACAACAAGTGATGTCAATGCCAAGTTTTATTTAAATCAGTGATAATGATTTTTGGTGACAGTTTTGGACAAAATGGTCAATTCAAAGATGTCTCTGAATCAATAAGAACTGCACTAACTGCAAAGACTCCCATTGTGTGCTTCACACACAGGATTCAGAAACAACAAGAAAACATAAATCAAAGAAAGCTTAGAAAGAACTGCACTAACTGCAAAGACTCCCATTGTGTGCTTCACACACAGGATTCAGAAACAACAAGAAAACATAAATCAAAGAAAGCTTAGAAAGAACTCCTGTGTGCTGAGAGTATTGAAGGCACATTAAAAATTAATTCAAAATTACTTGTACTTGAAATATTGATGGAATAGCTGAAAACTAATTATGTAAATCAGGTAAACTGATATGAACAGATTTGAGTGTAAAACTAATAAGGCCTGCGTAATGTAATATCTATGTACCAAGTTTCATTGAAATGTGATTAAAACAAAAAAACTATGAATTATTATTAGAGAATTAATATGAACAAATTTCAACCCAAAATTAATCGGCCTGCCTATTGTTCTAGAGCATTCATGTATCAAATTTTATTCAAATGTGATGATCAGTAATTGAGATTATCAGTGTTAATTAATTATTTTAATTAGGTGATTAATAAGCATAAATATTTACCAAAAACTAATTGGATCTCTGCATAGTCCTAGGTTCATTGAAATGTGATGATGAATACTCTATAAAAGTTTCAATAAAATCCAATTAGTGGTTCTTTATATATCAGTGGAACATTCATGGACAAAATTAACTAATTATGCGAATTAGGTAATTAAT